GTAGGTGTTTATCTCTGTCTGAGGGATTGGAGCAAATGTAAACAGGTTCCACTCTATGCATCTGAAGAAGTGAGCTGTAGCCCACGAAAGCTTATGCTGAAATAAATTTGTTAGTCTCTAAGGTGCCACAAGTACTCCTGTTCTTTTTGAGACTCCAGTGTTGCTCTGAAACCACTCTGCAGTGGCTTACTGCATTTCACGGTATGCCACAGCTGGGGGATCTGTAATGCTTTGTATTTAGGTGTGATTATCCTGCCCCTTGTGACACCCAGTTCGTATGTACTGCACATCTCTATAGTGTACTCTATACCTTGCCACTTAGAGTAGATGACTCCAGAGCTTTGTCTTGGATGTAGTTTGTGTTTAGCAGGAGAAGGAGAGGTAAGTTATTTGCACAGTAGTAGAAAAAGGAGTTATTTGCTGTGTTGCTGTTACCAGAGCTGTTTTATGTGAAGAATGTTGCCATGGTATTGCATCTAAAACCCTGAACCAGACTCTGACCCCATAAGTCACCTGAAAGGCTGGTTCACATGTGGTACATATAAACTGGAACACGAGTGTCCCTAAAATAGTCACTTATAAAGGCCAAGGAATCACAGGGTAGAAAAGAATCCGACATTGCTAAGGGGCAGAAGTCTGGACTAGATAGGAAGAAGTAGGCCTGATCCAACTGCAGAGGCTCTTGCTACTGACTTGGGCGGGTGGTTTTAGGCACGTATTCCTTGTGATTGAAGTATCCAGGGGACAGCTGTAAACAGGGCATGCTCTTTCCCCCCTGTGTCTTACTTGTGAGTCTGCTTTGGTGAAACAGCACCATGTGCTCTAATAGTCTTGCACTGTTGCCCTGTATCTAATGTATAGAATCTGCATAGGAGGGAGACTGTGATCCAACTCAGGTCAGCAGTTGTTCTTGCTTGGCTCCTGCTCTGCCAAAACAAGGTGGAGTCTGTATGCAGCCAAGCTGTGCTCCTCGGGGAGTTTAAAATGCTTGCTGGTCTTCTTAACAGATGTTTATTCATATCACAACTACTCTCCCTCAGGGTGGTGCCTAGGCACTCACTGTCCGCTCAGGAGCAAACCAGCGTAGGCCAAGAAGGCACCTGAATCTCCTATACCTCTGCAGAGCAGAGTTTTCCCTCCAGCCTCCAGGGCAGGGCTGAGATGGTGCTAGTAGGACTTGCATAGTCCCTTCCATGCACATCAGTATTTATCCTGTTTCTGTTACTCTGTGGTGCAACAGAACCATTTACATTACATCACTGATACAGCTCAGAACTAACCAAGAAATGAAGGGTTTCTTTCTTTAGGGACTGTTTCAAGTGTGTCTTTTTTTTTTGTGTGTGTGTGTGTGTGTGTAATTAACCAGTTGTGGGTCTGTTTTTCTATAGTCAACACAGAACCTGTATCTAGATTTAGTTCTAACTGCACCTGTGTATCATATCAGTATTTCCTCCTTTCACATTAGAAAATAAAATTGTCTGCACAGCTCTTGCCTTGTGCAGAGAACAAAATGAAAACTGCCTCTGATTTCATTGTTGATCAATAAAACCAGAGCCCAGGTGCTGTTTAAACTTCTAGTCTGGCTATACGGTGAGGCTAGCTCTCTGGAAAAGACATGCATCCTATTCAAGCACCAAAAGGGAATAAATACAGGTGGCTTTCATAGGGAAGTGGAAAGAACCCTAGACCATCCCCCCTCATTCAGCTTCTGGGTTGGTCAATATGCCCATGCTAGCCAAAGCGTACTCAGAGAGCAGGAATGAAATACATGGTGTCCTAGCACCAGAGGAAAGGAGCTGAGCAGCCAGGCTCCCCTCATACTGCTAATCAAGCTGAGGCAAACTTCAAGATGATGTGGTGGTCCAAAGGGTGCTGTGGCCTGGAAGCAGAACTCTCCTCCTGTGAATAAGACAGGCCTTTCTTCAACCAACCTTCAATAGATAATCCAGCCAGCCATCCTCACAAGAGCAGCAGGTACTGACCAAACATAGAGTTCTAACTTACAGTCAAGGCTCTCTAAAGCATATGTCCTCACCAGCTCAGCCTCTCTGGTGATTCTTTCTTAAAACACAGAGTAGCCTAAGAAGGCAGCTGCAAACCAGTCCCTTCCCCCTGAGGGAGGATCCAACTTTATTTAGTATGTCTTATACAAAGTGTGTTGTTTAACTGTAGAGAGCTGAGTAACAGCAATACATGAGCACATGGAGATGTTAATAAGACTTACAGCTGGAACATGAGTGAAAGATGGGGAGATACCGCATGAGTGAAAGATGGGGAGATACTGCTTTGTGTCCAGCAGGACAAGATGGAACTTGCAATGGCCCTTCTGAGCTGAAATAAGCTCTGCATCAACAAGGAAGCCTTACTACAATATTAAAAAGTAATGGTAACAAGCCCCCTGCCAAGCAATGGCTGTGTCCTTCAGCCCGCTGCTCTCACCATAAACCTTCAGGCCCATGCTTCTAGCATAGGAAGGGTTTATAGCTAGAGCACTCCATGGGTATAAAATTTGTATCCACAAACATGGTCCGTAGATATCTACATCTGCAGAGTTGCAGGGCTCTGTTTATAGCAAACTCACTGGCCTCCTGTGCTGAATGGAAGTACTACAGCATTCCCCCTCCCCCATCACAACTACATTCAAGATTCACAAGATCTTAGGAGAAAAGACCTTTCAAAAGCAGAGCTGGGAGCTGCTGTAAATGCCATCTACAGTGCCATTTCACCTCATGCTGCCAATACCCATTCCTCTCTGTGAAACACCCCCCCCCCACACACACCCCTCTTTGCAGCTGTTACTAATGATACTTGAACATCAGTTAATCCTTACACCCACCCATGCAGGATAGGTCAGGCTGAATGTTAGTTTATAGAGAAGAAGGAAGAAGCTTGCCCAAAGCTATACAGCTGGGATTAAAACATGGGCAGTCCCAGTCCACAAGATCATACTGTGCTTCAACCACTGACCCCCTCCCAGCTCACAAGCTGCTACTACTTAGGGTTACCATCCGTCCGGGTTTCCCCGGACATGTCTGGCTTTTTTAGCTTTAAATGGCCGTCCGGGGGGGATTTCTAAGGTAGAAATGTCTGGAATTTCCCCCTTCCCCTCATGCAGAGTGCGGCGCGGCTGATTGGACAGCTGTGCCTGATTGAAAGCCGCTCACAGCCACTGGGACCTCTAGCAGCCAGAGTCCCTCCCCTTCCCCCACTCCCTCCTCCCCTGCAGAGCAGCGCCTTATTTGTTTGGCTGCACGTGGAGCCCGCAGCTCTCCCTCGGCCTGGTGGGGGGGGGGCAGGCAAGGGACAGGGAACGGGGGGTTAGATTGGTTGGGGGTTCTGGGGGGGCTGTCGGGAGAAGGGGGTGTAGAGAGCGGTTGGGGCAGACAGGGAGCAGGGAGACTTTGATAGGGGGTGGGGTCCTGGGGGCAGTTAGGGTGGGGGGGGCGGGAAGTGGGAGGGGGCAGGGCTGGGGTGGGGCTAGGGCGGCACCCCGTGTCCTCTTTTTTGATTGTTGAAATATGGTAACCCTAACTACTAGTTCCTAGCTTCACTGCTGCAGTTCTAGGGTTCTCACTCAATTTCACACCAATGTACTTGGCCATGAAGGAAAAGCCTTTTCTGTATGGAGGAAAGGATCTGCACAGTTCTAGGGTTCTCGTCCCAGGTTACAACAAAGAACTTAAGCCAGTCAAACTAAGAGCTGATAACATCAAGACAAGCAGCAGCCCCCACCTCAGATAAGCCAGGGGCTGCAAGCTGCCATCTCTCTCCTGCATCCCTAGAGACCTATAAACTCCTCCCCCAGTAAAACAAAACTTTAAAAGGGCACTGCCCAATCCAGTAGGTACAATCACCACTTCTGAACTGCTTTAAAATGGTTTCACCTTGGTATGAAGTTTCCTGCACCAGTTCTAAATAAGTTTATTGAAATCATTGTTCTCTCCCCCAAAATATATCTGCAGGAGAGGGAGGGTAGCTCTGAGTGATGGCTGCTCACTAAAACCCATGGTACAAGCATGCAGGCAGAGACAGAAGTCCTGGCTGCATGCATTTCTGGCCTCCAAGTCATCCTCTGCCTCTGGGTCCCCCTCCACATCCTCGTCCAAGATTTCCTCCTCCTGGCTCGGTCCACTCTCAACTGGCACACGAGCCAGTGAAGTATCCACAGAGGCCTTCGTAGTGAGGTCGCCACCGAGTATTGCGTTCAGCTCTTTGTAGAACTAGCAGCTCGTGGGCACAGCACCAGAGCGGCGGTTCGCCTCCCACGCCTTGTGGTAGGCGTTCTGCAGCTCCTTCACTTTGACCCTACATTGCAATATGTTCTGGTCATGGCCCCTTTTTATCATGCATCGTGAAATCTGTCCATAGGTATAATTCCTATGGGTGGAGCGCAGCTGGGACTGCACAGCCTCCTCTCCCCAAATGCTGATGAGGTCCAGCAGCTCGGCAGGCATGACCACCTGGAAAGATGTGCTGAGACCACTGCACACATCACTGAGCAAATACAAAGGGGACTTTCAAATTTGGAAAGGAATTTACGGGGTGGGGATG